GGCGCTCCCCCTGGAGGGGGCCCGGGCGCGCTCTGCACCGCGGCGCCGCTTCCAGCGCCGGCTGGACGAGGAACTAACGCGTTCGGCTGCCTCTGAGGCGAAACGTTATTCCCCTTCTACCTGTGCGACTGGAGACGGAGCAAGCGCATGCCTGGCCCTAGGAAGTGGATTATCCCTGTCTGCTAGTGCTTTAGGAGGGTTCTAGTTTGGGGGAACTTCTGCAGGCAGCACTCCGCAGGCAAGTCACAGCAGTTTCCCTTTCCTCGTTGGCATGTCAGTGAATAGCATTTGCATGTGGACCAGGGCGCCGCTAAGTGCAAAAAACCGCAGCGTAAGTAAATCTTGTCCTAGACAACACTGAGCACCGTTCAGAAGTCAGATGGAAATATCCCACAGCCCGTGGTCGGACAACGATAGCCTGGACTGCACAGGAAATTGCAACAACGTACGTGAAAGGATCCACAGCTCTTACATCTAGTCTAGCAGCTTAACCAAAGCCAAGCCTTGCTATTTAACGTAAGAGCTTTCAAATACTGTTTTAGCACAGTTCACGTCCTGTTTGTATTCCACTAGGAAACACTTCATGGAGTTGAAAGTAAAGCCCTAAAGATAGATGTTTTGTAACAAAGCCCACACTGGAAAAGGATAGCTCTCCTCACCTGTAACTCTTACTCTGTGGTTATTCACATGAGACTTTTGCTTGACTGCTACCAGAAAAGCCTCAACTGTAGCAGATGCAGAGTCTGATTGCCTTACTTGCAAGTCTTACTGCACACCATTTTTCCCATTAGAAGTTGCATATATTACAACCAAGATACCACATCTATGCATACTTAATCGAAAACGTAAGGCAATTCAGATGCATTCCATTTCTTTAAAACCCATTAACAAGCATTTGTTTATCAAAACTAACCTGCAAGAAATTAAAAATATGCTTTGATCCTTATAGTAATTTCCTAGACAAAGGAGGAACAAAAGTATAGCTCAGATAAAAATTAAAATACACAAAATTATCATTTTCACAATTACAGATATAGCAGCCTTCAATTAATCATAAACCATTGGTGGCAAAGTGAATTTTAGATATGAACCAAGATATGAATAATGTAGCAAGCAATGGGAGTGGCTGCACAGCGGAGTTCCCACTGTCTCTGGTTGCTTCAAGTATTTCACCACAACGTCATTTAAGGCTCATGAACTTTACCAGTGCTCATTCTGGAATTCCGTAAAAGATTTCTATCCCAAATATGATGTGACTAAGGTGATTAGGGTCATTAGCATAAACTCAGAGCAATGATTCTACAATGGTATTTAATTTGCTGGTTCCTTTCAGAGCTGAGAAACGGTTTGCCCCAAAGCTTTTATCACTTGGTTTAATAAAGGATATTTTCTCAAGGCTTCTTACAAACCTTCCCCTGTTTATATTTTTATATTTTCCTTTGTTTATATTCTTGCTGTCATGGCTGCAACCAAATTATAGCTACTGTTATCATGCATTCCCTTCTACGGTTTTTATTTGCTAGTATTTGTAAGTTTTCCCATGAATAAAAGAAGTATACTGTTATATGTGGCTCTCTATATTAAGTAAAATAATAAGAATAAAATACTTAGGAAGACTGATACTCCTCTCTGCCCATTTTGTTAAACATAACCTAATTCCACTTGATGCTTAACAAAAATAATCTTTTGTCAGGAGAAAGTTTAGAAAGCAAAGATATGGTCTTTGAGGAAGACACTGACAAAGAGAGGATTCTCACTTCCCAGAGATTTTCCTAATTACTAGGAAAGCATTGTAATTAAGGAAAATTTTGTCCGAGACATTTCAAATTCCTTTTAAGCCTTGGAAAAATGTGATGATCTTTCTTGGTCAAGAAGGGATGACATTTGTTTGCCATTCTGTGATTCTGTTTAAGAAAAAGAATAAAAATATTTCAGGATGTATTTTGAGTACTGCAATGTTCAGAACAACTGAGGATGACTGCTTTCTGCTTCAAGAAGCTCCCACTGGGTCATATCAGTTCCATGCCATCTTCAGGAAGCCTCAAGAGGCAAGTTCACATTTTCCAGATCACAACTGTCACTGTTCCCTTAAGGTAAATTTGTTCCTCTGAATTGACAGATTTTCATTCAAATTTATGGGTTAAAAGATTTTTTTAACCATCTCCCAAAGTGCACTGTTTATGATTTACTTTCTGTCAAGAAAAGTGTAGAAATGTTGGAAGTTAAAAAAGATGAACAAAAACAAAACCGAAACTAAATAAAACATCAAAATGGCAAATATGTACATGTGCATATGCAAACACACATACATGTGATTTTTTTTAAAACAAAAACAGCAGTTTAATCTAATTAAGTCAGCATAACTGCTGATATTTCACATAATAAGTGCTTTACTTTTGTTATTTTTGATGTCCTTACATTGGATAGAACTTCTCAGTTCTCTAGAAGTTTAAGGACCTTACTGTGCAAATGTCTCTAGGGATCTACCCACAGAGATGTTTTAGTACTGAAATTTGTTCGGATTCATTCATATAAACAGTATCTTTACATCCTTTATGAGGTTAAAGAGTTAAATAGAATTAAAGGCAGACAACAGGTAAGAGAAATTAAAAGAACTAGACAAAATCAGATGCTTTCACTATCAACATACAGATAAATTAAGATTCATTTTTATGACGGAAAGAGCTATAGCAGAAAAATTCTCACACCTTGAAAGCACAATGTCAGAGGGAGCCAATGCTAGATAAACATGTAACACTATAAATGAAGGCCTGTAGTTAATAAACAAATGTTTATACAGATTTCTGCTGGACAACATGGATTTCAAAGCTGGCAATCTATTAACTGAGAATGCTACGAGTTGGAATACTGTTTCATTAAATTGTAGGGCTCTGCATATGGAAAGAGTTTGCCCTTAGCTCTATGAACTGCAGTGGTATTTTGCAGAAAGGCAGCAATTTGTTCATATAAATATTTTGCAGGGCTTTGACAAGAGTAAATTCTAGAAAAAGCATCCCCTCCAGTGTCAGCTGCTGAAATAAAAATAAAAAATGGTGAGAATAGGCCTACGCAGAACAGGTGGATACTAAAGGTCCAAAATGTTCAGCCTTTGAGCCTATCTTGCTTTCTTCCACCCTCTATCTTTCTCCTACAGCTGCTGTCTCTACTATTCTAGCCCGCCTTTCTTAGTGGGATACTTTCTATCAGGTAGCGGCAAATGTGTTAGCTGCTGGCTGGGCAACTACCATCAGCTTCAGTAGCAAGTGACTGTACAGACACACCTTATATCCACTGAGCATCCATCAAAGAAATGGATAAATGTCTTCCGCCCGTCTCACCTTTTTTTCCCCCTTGAGATTTAAATCACAAGCAATACTTTACTTATATCTAAAAATTACAGCTGGACAGCATTTCTAATAAGTACATTTATTAAAAAGTAACAGAAATGGCATTTTTACTATTGAAGCACTTTTCCTTATTTTTCAAACAGCCATAAAAAATATCAAACATTTCAAAATGTCAGCCTCATATTAACAGAAAAGCAACTAAGCATGGTTACATTCTAATAACGTGATGAAATAGTTAAAATGCCAGATATACAAATTTAGCTGTTTTCACCAGAAATTAAGAAACATTGTGTGCAATATTAATTATATATTAATATAACGTTGTATTAAAAGTATGTTACATAAGTATGTATATAATCTATATATACCCTGTATTAATATCACATAGCTACATAATTGCTATATACTATACTATATAGTATCTTGTTACCATATACAGAGTATAGCATATAATCTGTATACTAATTATATGTGTTTGTATATTTAATATACAATATAAATTATGTGGTGTATATATATATATGTATATGATGTAAATTACATTACTATAATTGTATATAAAGTTAGTAAGATATTCACTCGTATACTGTTCATATATCGTATACTGAAAGATATTGCAATGGTTCTTTATATGGAGAAAGTTAAACATCAAGAAGGGAAAATAAGTCTGAAATTAAAGAATAATGATATCAAACAATAAAAAGGTATAATCCAACCTTTGAATGAATCAAGACCAATAATCTAAATAGATTTTCTAATCTCCAGAGAAGTAACATTTTGAAAAAAAGTTTTCCAACAAGAGTAGCAGAGACTAAAGTCTTAATAAGTTTTAAGGAGGAGCTCGGTGAGCTTATAGGAAGGATTTTACTGCCACTGGAAACAGCCAGACCCTTTCCACTCACGGACCAATGTTTATATCCGTATGGAATCTTTTGCAAAAGTAGTTTAGATGCAGTAGTTCAAAAGCTGTGTAGCAAAGTCTGTAGTTAAACATGCATTATAAATCAGCTCTTGGATGCTGCACAGGCCTATTTTCTACAGTCTGTTTATCTAGGATAATTTGTCTCTTTTTCAACACTGATCATGAAACTAGTGAATAGCCTATTAGCAAATACCTGTTGTTATTTTCCAGTAATGATCATCATTCTGAGGATGCATTCTTGCTCCGTTTATTTCTCATGATACAGCAACGCAGAGAGAAATAAACTGCTGGAGATCGTGTTTGTAGAATGTGTATGTATTCAGCAGCTCCTAGAACAAACAGGTATCTGAAAATTCAGATTGGATTGTTGCTGCCCTGAGATACTCCGCATCTACACCATTTATTCCTGTGACTGTCCAAAGATATGAACTATTACGCATGCACAGAGTATTGTGAATTTTATCAAGAATTGCAACCAGAATATTTCAACAAATTGCAGAGAGAATGACTGACCACATCTTGTCACTCTTTGTTTAACTTTTTTCTTAAGTAGCAAAAGTAGTCCTTCAAAGTCATTACTTTTTCAGTAGTTGCAACTCAAAAGCAACAGCAGACACTGCAAAAATATTGTTCATCTGAGATGGCATGCAGCTAGTCCTCCCCCTAGCCCTCTAGTGGACAGGAAGCGATTGCTGTGAACCAAAATGTTTTTGTAGTGTGAACACGCAAATTGACACATTCGTAGTTCAAAGGAAAATAAGCCTATTGCTCTGAAAAAAATCCTTACATTTTGACAGTTCAGCTTGGTTGTGGGTGTCTCAGCAGCAATTTCTGAGGCAAGTTCATCTTGCAAAAGATAATACAATAGGATGTAGATACCAGTTCAGTTTCCAACTTTGCTGTGTATTTCCAGACTCACCTATGTAGAAGCAGATTCCTTTATAGGCACTTTTCAAAATTTAGTATTGCTTCAAACAGTGTAGTTGCACACACAATTTGCTGAATTTCTGGAAATCAGTGAGAAGTTAAAGTAATAAATTGCTGATGAGTTTCAAGGATGCAAACTCAGTATAAGACTGTGCATCTCCAACTTTCTCTTTACAATTTAGCTGTTTATTCTGTTTTCATTTCAGTTTGGATCTTACTTTTTATACTCCAAACTAAACTTTTTCTATACAGCATGCATCATTCCATTCCAAATCTAGCAAACTCTCTTGAGTCAGAATCTCCCACTAAGCAATTGGTTCACAACCCCTCCCCACTGACAATCTTGAGCTCATATATATTGATATTTCGGTAACCTTTTAGATCATCACTGCACAGTATTCAGAGATTTGTCGTTGAGTGACCCATAATGATGCTCTGTTTTTCCCTAGGCAGTTAAGTGAATTCGGAATTCACAATAGGCTTCCTGAAGTAAAAGATCTTTCTATTTTCAGTAAGTTATTAGGACTGACGAATCTCTCCTGCACCTTGACACACTCAAACCAAAGTCCAGCTGTTTGGCAGGCATGCACATGAACACTACCACTTCTGTATTTCATCATCCTTAAATAGGCACCACTTCTTTAAGAGACAAACGTGGTAGTGCCCTCCCTTCCATTTCCCTTATCCAAGATGGACACAGAGTGGGCCCCTTCTGCCCTCAGCTATGATGGCTATCATAACACTATTATGGACTTCCTGCCCTGAAAAAGGATGGCCACCTAAGTGGCATCTTGCTGCCCTTACCTAATATGGCTGTCAAAGCTGACTGCCTCTTTTGGTTGTGTGGCAAACAGTGGTTTGCAGAACTGAAGCATGTGCTTACAAGCCCTTCCTCCTGCTGATCAACCTACAGTGGCTGATCATTTTAAACCGAACTCCTCGCATCCACCTGTTCCTTTCCTCCATTCAAAGACACTGACTTTCTGATAAGTATCAGATACCTCAAAAAAAACCCGTAAGAGTTTGTATCCTCAATTCAGAATGCAATCACCTGCTATATTTTTAACTTTGTTGGAGTCTACCTCTAATAACTTTTGAACTCGTTTGCCAATTTGAAATAGTAAAAATTCTGAAATATAACTGAATCCATCCAACTTCTGTGAAAGCTGGCACTTGTACAGAAAAGGAAGGCTCAAATTAGTGCCCCTACTGAAAAGTAGGTAGAACTCTCTTGTTACATGAGCCACTTGTCAGTGTGCCAACAAGCATTAGAAAGACAGCTGGCATGTGCCATTGCATCCCCCATGGGACTGTTGTAAAGGATGGAGGAGAGTTCAGAATACCATAATATACCAGTGGTTAATAGTTTACTAAGGACACAGACACTAAGCGTATTAGTTGGTTAGTTCCACTGCCGACAGGATGGCTTATTTGAAAAAGATATTGTAGAGGAAATATAGTACCTAATTTAAGTCTGGTTAATAAAAATATTTAAAAATTATAAATACCTACAGTGAACCTCAGTAAAAGATACCCACTACTTGGTTGTTTTTCTTTTCTTTCTGTGACTTTTACTTCTCTCAGTTCTCCTAGACTCTGCAAATGCTAATGGGTCTTCATGTTTGAGTTGACTTTTAAACTGCTTTCTCCATTAAACATCCCTACAAACATGTAAGAAATGCTATCTCATAAACGTTCTTTTCATTCCAACATCTGCAGGACCCTTTCCTCCCTTTTTCTTTCTACTCCTTTTCAATTTCAAAATGTTCTGAATTATTTCTACTTTTCCAACTATTTCCCTCAAATCTAACTCCTGTTGGACTTAAATTTCCCTAACCTCTTTTTATACTTCTTTCCTCCTCCCTTCTGATTCATTATGGCACCCTGTATGCTAAAATCAATGCACATACAGATTCCCAATTCTTTAAAATATGAGTAAATTAGGAATATTAATCACAATATTAAAATAGTACAAACAAGCTGATGAAAGCTGTGAAGGCGGCGTGTCAGATACATATTTTACTCCTGTCTGGAGACCTGAAAACTACTGACACGTTGCCACACAGCTTCCATGTACTAGTCTTTCTCTTTTTGTCTTCAAAAATTGAACAATCTCATATTGGATTTCACTTCTTTGCCTCAGATACAGATGTTAGCCTGAAAACGGAAGAGTACAAAACTAGGCTGTAATGAATCAAAGATACCGCATCACAGTACAGGCAGAAAAAGGGAGAAAACAGCAGACCTTGAGACGTTACTGGGCTGTGACTAATGTAATCATTCTTCCTCTCATACGCTGCACTGCCTCACCCTGCTTGTTGCCCATTTCCCTCATCTATTGCCAGTTAAACTACCTGGCCCAGCTCCTCTTCTCTCCTCCACGGCTGTCTGGCCTTTCTGGCATCACGCAACCCCCCCATCTCTCTAATCCCAACACCTTGTCATGGGGTAATTATAGGTGCTGGCACAACTCCAGCATGAGTCTTATATCAAACAATCTCTGCTTGTTTGCTTTATAGGGACTGACTGACTCATAAATGAATTCGGACTTGAGAGACCTGTTCCGCACTAACCTACTGTATGACCTTGAAAAAACAGCAACCCTGCCTCGGTCTCTGCAAAATGGGGAAAAATGGGATCTTGTGTGATGCTCCGAGACCTACGGAGGGAAAACACTGCACCGGTGACCTCCATCTCTCTGTCCTCCCCCGACCTCTCCGTGCCTGCAGTTACCGCTTCGAGGTTCTCCCCCCCCCCAACGGCCACACTGGAACTGGACTGAGACCGCAAAACACAGGCTGGACTTC